GGGGGGAGGGTGGATCGGAGGGATGGGAGGGATGGGGTGGGGGATTAATGCGCGTCTGCGGAGATTGTTTAGTTGCTCGGAAATTATGATCGCGCGCATAGATATTCCGGTTAGTCAGCAAAACATTCTTCACTCTCCGATCATCATAAGCTCGGCCGGAGAGTTCGGCCCCACTCGTACTCCGGGCTTCTGTGAGCAACGGACGCAGTGGCTCGGGCCGCGTTCAAGGGGAAAATACGGGGAGGTGGGGGGTTGACTTCGAGTGGACCGTTTTTTGGGTCTGCATCCTTTCAGAACCGGCCACTCGCTTCGAATTTAGCATGAGAGCTTTGGGGTTTTTTTTTCTTTTTTTTTCCTTCTTAGAATACCACGAAGATGGTAATCCTGCTTCGCTTTGGTTGGACCGCGTTAAGGAGAAAGGAACCAAGCCACATCAGCTATTGCCAAATTTAGCTGCAAAATTTAATTTTATACAAAAGAACGTTTGTGCGGATTCCTTGGAAAATGTTAGGGATATTGCGGTATCATAGCTTAGAAAATAATTTAGTAAAAATTTTGACATACAAAGCCACTAAACAACAGAAAAAAAGAAGAAAAAAATTTGACAGCAAACGAGTACCACAAAGGTGGTTATCCTGCGTTGCCTTAGTTGGACCGCGTTTAGCAGAAAGAAACCAAGCCACGTCAGCTATTGCCAAATTTAGCTGCGAAATTTAATTTTATACAAAAGAACGTTTGTGCGAATTATTTTGAAAATTATACGGAATTTGCTTCGCAACATGCAGAAAATTCATTGAAATTTTCACAAAAATCCGCATTCCCGTTTACATGTAAAACATTAAATGGCGCCATTAAATTTGGCAATAGCTGATATGGTTTGGTTCTTTTCTGCTTAACGCGGTCTTGTCAAAACCCCACCCCCCTCGGTCTCTTTTGCGAAACTGGCTCCAGGCGACTTGTATTTTGGTGTTTTTGGCGTTTTTATTAGTGATGATAAGTGAAAGCATTGCAGAGAATATTTTTGAAATTCTTTAAAATTTATGAAGCCGACCGACGAAAAGTTATACAAAAACTCGAAAAAAATTACTTAAATTCGTCAATTACGCTTCGCTCTATAGAGAGAAACACTTTAATACGCTCTTGCACTCCATATGACACAAGCAAGTTTCTGTAATACCACTATTCGAGCTCCGGTGTGTTGCGGAGTATCATCTCTATTTGAAGGCGTTTTGGAAAACGGAAGATAGAAACAGCAGTTTTAGACCCTGTTTACAGGCTCCAGGCGACTTGTGTTTGAGACCATCAATGTCGGGACTCCTACTCAGTAATCATAGAGCCAGCGTAGCGCTACAACCACTACACCGCAAGGAGCTGACACACCACACCACAAGGGGCCGATAATCAATGTTGTGTTAAGGACATTGGTGGATCCGGCAGATGGGCAACATTGTTTTTGTCATGGGAACGGAGTTCCCCATGATATTACAATCGTTCCGTTGCTTTCACAATGGGATTCCCTATACCTCTGCGACCTTGAGCGTTTCGCCCAGTCTCCGATTTTTGGNACGTCCTCTTTGAAAATTGCCGTAAGCCGCCATTTTGAAAAACTGCGATTTGACCACTTTCCCGGTGGAATTTTTTGGTAAACTTTTTTTTCTGTCTTATTGGGTACCTAGAGACCCTATATACCAAAGGTAAAGTTTGTGCTAATTTGTCCGAGGTAAAAAGCTAGATTGACTGGACTACATCAGCTATTGCCAAATTTAGCTGCGAAATTTAATTTAATACAAAAGAACGTTTGTGCGGATTCCTGGGAAAATGTTAGGGATATTGTGGTATCATAGCTTAGAAAAGAATTTAGTGAACATTTTGACAAACAAAGCCATTAAACAACAGAAAAAAAAGAAGAAAAAAATTTGACACCAAACGAGTACCACAAAGGTGGTTATCCTGCGTAGCCTTAGTTGGACCGCGTTTAGCAGAAAGGAACCAAGCCACATCAGCTATTGCCAAATTTAGCGGCGAAATTTAATTTTATACAAAAGAACGTTTGTGCGAATTATTTTGAAAATTATACGGAATTTGCTTCGCAACATGCAGAAAATTCACTGAAATTTTCACAAAAATCCGCATTCCCGTTTACATGTAAACATTAAATGGCTCCATTAAATTTGGCAATAGCTGACGTGGTTTGGTTCTTTTCTGCTTAACGCGGTCCGGTCAAAACCCCACCCCTCTCGGTCTCTTTTGCGAAACTGGCTCCAGGCAACTTGTGTTTTGGTGTTTTTGGCGTTTTTATTAGTGGTGATAAGTGAAAGCATTGCAGAGAATATTTTTGAAATTCTTTAAAATTTATGAAGCCGACCAACGAAAAGTTATACAAAAACTCGACAAAAATTACTCAAGTTCGTTAAGTACGCTTCGCTCTATAGAGAGAAACACTTTAATACCCTCTTGCACTCCATATGACACAAGCAAGTTTCTGTAATACCACTATTCGAGCTCCGGTGTGTTGCGGAGTATCATCTCTATTTGAAGGCGTTTTGGAAAACGGAAGATAGGAACAGCAGTTTTAGACCCTGTTAACAGGCTCCAGGCGACTTGTGTTTGAGACCATCAATCTCAGGACTCCTACTCAGTAATCATAGAGCCAGCGTAGCGCTACAACCACTACACCGCAAGGAGCTGACACACCACACCACAAGGGGCCGATAATCAATGTTGTGTTAAGGACATTGGCGGATCCAGCAAATGGGCAACATTGTTTTGCTCCATTTAAACCTATGGAATTATATCGATTCTTAGAGGGAACAGGTACTCCGACAAGAATCGATTATTTTACATAGATTTAGATGGTGGGAATCCGGTGTTGCCAAATTTTGGAACCGCCTCTAGTTGGATCCCTGTTCCCGCTAAAAGTAAGTGTCAGCTGGGATGGGCTGGGTTTTGGATAGAGGGGTTTCATGAAGAGGCTTTTTCAGGAACATTGCCGACGAAAAGTTGCTTTTGTTGAATTGTGCATTTGTTATACAAATACTTATTGAGGGCATTAAATTATCCCTTCCGAAAGTGAATAAATCCTTTCTCAACTTTTCAAGAAACTAAACAATCTCTTGAACCATCATAATGTAAACCAAATGGGGGCGCCTAAGGAATGGGATGACCTGGGATATTTTCTTGGGGGGAGGGGGCAGAAGGGTACTTCATCGAGGGGGTCTGAAGGGGACAAAAAACACTCAACTAAGGGGAGCCTTTTTGCGTCTCCGGGACTCTTCTAGCTCAAAAAGAGAGTTCAGGGAAGTCTCCTACGTTTACAGGGGGGTTTTCGGGAGGCCTCTCCTGGAAAATTTTGAAAAATCGAGTCATCTCAGGAGCGATAATGAGCTTCTTCACCGTGAAATCGACCCAATCCCAACTTCCAAGAGGAAAAATATGTCACGCACTCGCTTAGCAAATTCCTTCGTACTTCAAGGGAGGGGCTAAGTAGATTTCTGGGGGAGGAAGGGGATCTACCCCTATTTTTGCTAATATCCTCAGGAAAAGAGCTGTTTAAGGAACGACAATGAATACGACCTAAGGACTTTGAGAGCCGTCGGACCTTCAAATTACTCGTATAATTGAAATCCGAGACCTTCGTAAGTCTCCGAACCCTCGTCAACGATTAGGCCGGATTGCTCCCGTAGGAGCGGCAGACAACCACCCCCCCCCCCCCCCCCTCGAGGTGCGAAATCTCGAAACAATCACGAGTC